TGAAGATTTTTCCCTCTCTGTGAAAAACTCAAGAACACAATCCTCTTTTTTTGAATGTAATGCAAACCCACAATTAGAAAGATCTAAAGCTCCCAAACCATATGGTCACTCCATTGTCATTAGCTCCTTGGGAGGCTTGCGATCTATGGTATCCTTGGTATGACGATTAATGGCTCTTACCTAGCTATAGCCCTGTTTTGATTCTATGGCTCAAGTGAAAACCTCTTCTCTTTTTCGTTCAGCAGACGAGATTCCAGATGAAATCAAAGTAGCATATCTTTTTCTGTAGCTAGACGCCGCAGCAGCAGTTGTTCCTCGATTTTGGTAGAGATTGGGTTTGATTTGTTTTTTGTGAGGGTGAGAAATTTGTCATTTGTGGCATCAATAATGCGTCATTTGCTCTGCTATCAATAATGCGTCATTTGACTTTGAGAGGTAAGTTCACTCTTGCTGGATTGATTTTGTTGGGTTTGATTTGTTTTTTGTGAGGGTGAGAAATTTGTCATTTGTGGCATCAATAATGCGTCATTTGCTCTGTTATCAATAATGCGTCATTTCCTTATGAATATTCAATATACTTAGTTGATTATTTTTTTTTGGAGGGGGGTTGGAAAATTATGAAATGTAGGTAAAAGATCCTAAACTTAGGCTTAATGGCATTAGGAGTAAGCATTTGGAGAGGATATTGGGTGAAGTTCTGTAATTGCTGGTTTGAATTACATTTGTGTTCTTAGTTGAACGTGTTGGTTCTAATGTTAATTTTTTCAGATTATTTCACAAGAGATGACGTAACTATTATTAAATTTTGCTTGCGTCTTGTGTAATCGGAATCCAACAAGCTAGGCTATTCGTGTTTTGTGTCAATTTGGGCAATGTTTTATGTAAGTGGAATGCATTGATATGTTGTGATGCAGTAATGATTGATTAATAAATTAATATTTGCTATGCAGTAATATAGAAGTAGATCCATAATATACGTGGATAAAATGTCTGGGGGCTCAGAGAGTGATGACTATGTAACAACTAATGGGAGGGTTTACATTCCTGAAGTAAGAAATGAGGAAACACCAGCAGTTGGGATGAAACTCTCTCCACTTACATAAAACATTGCCCAAAAAACTCTCCATCCACAAAAAACTCACTTTTTCACCGAATCTGTCTTCATCTACTGAAACTCTCTCCTCCACAGAAACTCTCTCCCCCCGTAGAATGTATTTACTAACCAAGTTTGATGTGAGCATAATAAACACCCCTCCAAACAAAGACCGCATTCGAAACTCAAGTGAGTCACCAGACAAGCAGTGTCACATTCCTAGATAGAATGACCATTTTGTTGGAAATTTTGAGTCTGAAAGAGTTCTTGCTTTCTAGAAGGAGAGGCATCTTCAACTTGGTGATGAAATCCAAAGGGCAAGGGCACGTTTGGAATTTGTTGAAGGCCAAATTGAAGATGACAAAAGGCAGGCCAATCTGGATAGGGCGAAGTTGCAGCGCATGAAGCGTAGACATAAACGACTTCGGAGTGTAGCTGTTCAAAAATACAAGAACTCATCTAATGCAGTGGAGTCAAAGAAGCGTGTGATGCAAGCAGGATTCGACTACTTCCGGTCCTATGCAAAACTTGTCGTACCTGGATTTGATTGGTCATCTATTACCATTTTCGATGTTAACAAATATACTCAGCAAGGGAAGTAACCATTTTGGTTCTCGTGTTTGAGCAGAGGCAAATCAGATGTTAAAAAATGCAGAGTGAATATATAATCACTCATATAGACTATGACAAATATTCGCTAATATTTTAAAATTGCTTGACTAGTGTGAGTGTTTTCAGAAAAAGTATGGAATTATTTTATGTGATTGGACATGATAGAAAATATATTACTAATTCTCAATGTAGCGTCATATGGACAACTTATTGAATACCTCTAGGTGCAGTTGCATATGGACAACTTATTGAATACCTCTAACGTTTTCAAAGCTCTAGGCATGGCTTCAATGCAGTGTGCAACTATTATATATGTATATTATTATAACAAAACAGATAATTTTACATCCTTATATATGAAAGGAAACCAATTCTTTTATTATTACAAGTTATATAACGAATATTAAGGAAATATACTTGTTAAAGTGAACAAACATATATACTTATGGT